AAAGTTTGTTTGGTCGGAAGAATCGCAGAGGACATTCGACAGAATTAAACAGCTGCTCGACCACCAACAAATGACGCTAAAACTACCTGTACCAGGAAGACAGTTCACAGTGTGCACAGATGCCAGTGACTACGCTATAGGTGCGGTCCTAAGACAGGACGAGGGAATCGTTGAGTATGCCAGTAGGGTTTTGACCTCACAGAGAGAAAGTATTCAACGATAGAGAAAGAATGTTTAGCAATGGTATGGGCAGTCGACAAATGGAGACCTTATTTACTCGGCCGGCGGTTCCACATCGAAACTGATCATAAGCCGCTACAATTTTTGAAGACAGCGAGAGACCCACGGGGGAAGTTGTCACGGTGGATGTTGCGTCTTCAGGAGTACGATTTTACGATCTCACACGTTCCTGGAAGTGAAAATGTCTTGGCAGATTTGTTATCGAGACCAGAAGATGAGTCTGAGTTGCCCGAGGTCGCTTACGGAGTGCATGCAGTAGAACAAGACCCACTAAGACTTGCACGTAGGCAGAGGTTGGACGATACGCTGAATACAGTAATACAGGTGATCACCAACGGAATAGAAGTGGATCAAACTACGGCGAGTAAGGAGCTAACCACACTACTCAGACAGAGGGATCGACTCAGAGTGAATGCCTACGGGACTCTGACCTGGCGAGAGAACGACGGAAGCTGGCTGGCTGTCATACCTCAATCGTCGCGCCACGACATGATAGAAGAATGTCACCAGCTAGCGCATACAGGCGTGGCCAGAACGACCGACCTCCTAAGACAAAGTATGTACTGGCCAGGTATGAGAGAAGACGTAGCAAGATACGTACTTGGATGTCCACGGTGCCAGCTGATGAAAGGTGACCGGTGTATACGACCACCACTTCAGTCGATTCCAGTTACCGCGATAGGTGACTTGTGGTCCGTAGATGTCATGGGTCCATTTCCTCAGACATCCAATGGTAATCAGTACCTCTTGGTGATGACGGAACACGCGACACGATGGGTAGACGCCGTAGCAATCCCAGACCAACGTGCAAGAACCGTGACAGATGCAGTAGTTAGACACATTGTTGCAGACCACGGCGTACCGAAGACAATACTGACAGACCAAGGTCCCTGTTTCGAGAGTGAAGAGTTTACTTCCCGTTTGCAACAGCTGGGCATCAAGAGGATCAGAACGACCCCATACCATCCACAAACGAATGGCCTAACGGAGAGAAACAACCGTACACTGAAGGAGTGGCTGGCCTCGAAGGGCGGTAACTGGGAAACGGAACTTCCACTGATTTTACTGACACATCGTGCTACCACTCAGGAAACAACGAAGAAGTCACCCTTGTGTCATCGTATGAACACATGGTGTAAAATTAGGAAGATCTTATAAACTATCTAACCTAATAGGTCACATGTTCAAACCCATTTTTTACCTGCTAGATAGTGTTACTAGTGTCAAAACAAAAAAGAAATGTATCGCAATGATTAAACACGTCCACTTAGTTATTATTATTATTCCCTTTAATTCCTAGAGGAACATAGGGCTTCAACCGCGCGTCTCCATTGCGTTCGGTTACCTGCTAGAGTTTTCATCTGGCTCCAGGTCTGTCCACATGTTTTCATCTCCTCTTAATTTGACCTCCTCCAAGGCAACCTCACATTGACGAACAACTCACCGCTTCCCTTTCGGCCTCGTTCCACTCGAGCGATGGCTTGCCTAGTGACGTCACTTGATGGTGTCCTCAGAGTATGGCCAATCCATCTCCATTTCTTCCTACCTGTTTCTTGCACAATCGGTTCCTGATGGGCTCGTTGATTCGCTCCCAGAGATCCCTGTTGCTGATCTTTTCTGGCCATCTGATCTTGAGTAGTATTGAGCGAAGACAACTGTTAATGAAGGTCTGAAGTTTATTTGAGATGCTCTTTATGACGCGCCAAGTCTCTGATCCGTGTAGTAAGTAGCACTGACTTCACATTGGAGTTGAAAATCCGGATCCTATTTTTGATTCTGAGTGCTGTTAACTTCCACACAGACTTATGAGTAATCAAAGCTTGTTTTACTTTTCTGATGATCCTTGCTTTGATATCCTCGTCAACTCCCCTTGAAGTTGAAAAGATGCTTCCCAGGTAGGTAGGTAAAAGAGGTTGTTTCTTTCAGATTCTTACCATTTATGCTGATTTTTGTCTGTTGTTGTTGCTGTTGGTGTTGTCCAGGAATTTTCATCACCTCTGTTTTCTCTATGTTCACCTGAAGTCCCTCCTATCTTTGATGCTTCTTCTGCCAATTTGTTGCTTTTCACTTCCATATCTTCCAATTTGTGGGAAATGTCCACTTAGTTACTAAGATAGTATTGCCTCTTTTAGTCAAAGAAGTCAATCTGTAGAGAAATGTATTAGTTAAGTGAATATTGGAATATGTTATAGACACATTATAGATTTTGCGTCAGAAAAAATGACTGGTCGATTGATAAGTGATTGATTAAAATGGCTGAACCTACTACTTTCAGGTGTTAGTCTTGAAACACGCAATGACTTCTACGAGATTTAGTACATTTTGTTTATGAAAAGAAAAAAGCAATCGTCTTTTGTAAATAGCAGTGTTGTTTTTCCCCCCTGTAAAACGATACATTGGAAGTATAAGTTTTTGATATTAGATGGTTGGGGGCAATCGGCCATAGGAAGCCACGCCTGACCTAGGTTTTTATGCTAGTTGGCACTTACCAGTCATCAAGGCGTATCGTGCAACCTAGAAAGAACTCATGTCTCTCTTGAGATTCAAACCTGCGTCACCCAGTGCTGCAATCAGAGACGTTACCACTGAGCTATTCGGTCTCGCGATTGACCTCTTATAGGACTGTATTGGATACTTTGATTGAACTCTGGTCACTGACTAGTGTATTGTGTCTAGTCCTTTTCTTAGTACAGACAATTATATTAGTCACGTTGGCAATGTGACCAGCATTAGGTGGTTGGAGGCAACCGGCAGGGAAGCCTTGGACCTCGAACATCAGAATGGACATGAGTTCCTTCAAGGATGCAGATACGCCCTACTGATTGGTGAGTGCCAACTGGCACGAAACCTATGTCCAAAGCTTCCAGCCGATCGCCTCCAATCATCTAATATCAACAATTCAAAAGCTCACTGTGATGTCGAGTCAACTAGAATGGTGACCACGTTGCCAACGTGACTGATAGAATTCAGTGTGTACTAAAAAAAGGACTAGACACATTACACTAGTCATTGACTACTATATATATATATATATATATATATATATATATATATAACATCAATGTGGAACAAAGCCATTATTGTCCCCATCTTTAAAAAGGTTGGACGTAATTCATGTGACAATCATAGGGAGGGATATCAGTCTGCTGCCAGTTCCGTCTAAAATATTGTCTGTTGTCTTGCTTCGCAGGCTGTGCAAAATACGTGAGGGATTGATTCGAGAAGAGCATGCTGGGTTTCGTTCAGGTCGTGGATGCATTGATCATGTGTCCACCCTTCTTCAGTTGTTGGAACACCGCCACACGTATTGCTGGCCAACGATCGTTGTGTTTCTTGATATTAGGGTTGCCTTCGATTCGTTGGACAGAACTGTGCTCTGGAACTGTCTGTTAGAGAGGGGCGTACCTGAGAAATTTGTTAACATCTTGAAAGCCCTATACAGAAACACCTCGGGTAGAGTGAGAGCATACAACCAACTATCATCACTGTTCCCAAGCAACAGTGGGATTAGACAGGGCTGCCCAATCTCTCCATTTCTCTTTAACTTTGCCATCGATGACATTCTGGAGTCGGCTCTGAAGGATGTGCGTGAAGGTGGTGTAGATCTGTTACCTGGAGATAGACTTTTCGACCTCGAGTATGCAGACGATATCGTCTTGTTGTGCGATAGCATGCAGACTGCCCAAATCGCACTTAATCAGTTGGCGATCAGTGTCTGTAAGTATGGTATGTACTTTGCGCCGCCTAAGTGCAAAGTACTGTTACAAGATTGGCAGGAGCCTGTACCTATACTCACTCTTGTGGGTGAACCGCTTGAAGTTGTTGATAAGTTTGTGTATCTGGGTAGTTGTGTGAGTGCTGGCGGAGAAGTGACGGATGAGATTTCCAACTGTATAATGAAGGCTAGGGTGGCATACATCAACTTCAGCCACCTCTGGCGCTGTCGCGACGTTAGCCTGGCTATCAAACGTCGTGTACATAATGCTTCGGTGCAGACTGTCTTGCTCTACGCCTGTGAAACCTGGCCTCTCTGAGCTGAGGATGTGTGGCGGTCCTCCGTGTTCGATCATCGCTGTCTCCGCAGGATCGCTTGCGTTCGATGGATGGCATCATCGCGTGAGTAATTCTGAGGTTCGGCGGCGTGTGTTTGAACACAGTGGAGATCACCATTCATTGATTGTCGTATTCTGGAAACACCGGCTCTGGTGGCTTGGACATGTGCTGCGAATGTCATCCCAGAGGCTTCCGTACAGGTCTCTGTTCGCTAGCCAGCCCTGGGACAGGATAGAAAAGGTGAAGAGAGGTGGTCAGTCCATGACGTGGCGTCGTGAGGTGAAGAATGTTTGTGCTAGATTAGCCTTGGTTGGTGAGTCACGACTCCCTAGTTGGGGTCCGCGAGATAGCTCGAATCAATGGCTCGTAACGTTATCGGATGTGACCGAGAAGCGTAATCAGTGGCGAACGTGTTGCGATTTCCTTCTTTCTTCCCTTCCCGATGATAGTTACCGAATACTGTTTGAACTTGTTAAGCATGACTGTTTTCCTTCCAGATGAAGTTCTTTATCCGTTCTTTACTTGTATTTTCTTTTACTATTGATCTATGTTGTTTTATTATTATTGTGTGGTGCATCTTTCTTGGTGCGATATTGTACCAAGTTTTCTTTTCTGCGTTTAAATAAAATATATTTTCTCTGATGATTTCTAAATCACTTCAGCTTACTACTGATTGTTTATTATCAAAATTTGTTTGTTTTTGCTAGCTGAGAAAAGGTCTTCCTACTCGACATCTATTGCTCCTGTTCATGGACCATTGGCTCAGGCCGGTGCACTACCCCTTATTAATACAGATCTGTTAACCCTTACAGAAACTGATACTACTCAGTACTCGTTAGATAGATTTATTTGTCCTCATGACGGCTGCAATTACAAGACGAACAAACGGAGTGGTTATCTTATTCATATTGGACGTAAGCATAACCTACTTCCAGCCAGTTTAACTGCTCCATCAGATCAACAAAACAACAGTTGTGAAGATTCTTTAATTAATAATTCACAGGAACGCTTGTACATTTGTCATCTGTGTCATACAGTTAAACGGCGAGGTAATTTGTTTTTTTTTATTTCTTTTTTTGTATACTTTGTGTGTAACATATGAACAACTGTTAACAATTTAAGTGCCTTTAATATTATATGGGGATATATGCACCGTTGCATGACCGTAGAACCCAGGGGACAACTGGTTGAGGCTGGTCACACACAACCCATCTGAGCTGGCTTTTTGTATTTGTTCCGTATTAGTAACTTACCGCTGGTTATGGACCACCGTAAGATAAATCGGGATGTACAATATTTGGGGTCGGCTTTTTCTAACCGCCTCTGTCCACAGTGTAGAGACAGTATAGCTGGCTGGCTTGTTGGTCATCTGAGGGAAACACCTTACTGCGGCTGTTACATCCCTGTTCGCCAGCAGTACGACTTAGCCCACAGACCATCAGCATAATTTAAGATTTTTCTTATACTATGCCGGTGACTGCTTTTAATCTAATCGCTATCCTAACAATCTTTCTGGCGTGGTAGGACCTGTAGGAACATTCGTTCCAGCCAGTGTAGCTTGTTTGGTCATTGTGATAAGCAAGCCCGACCCCCAAGTCCAGATAGCAGCTATCGGTTAGTAGTTTAAGTTACATTGGGACGTTGTAGACCTCCTCGTTGGGGTCCTCAAGATTATTTATTATTGTTGTTCCCTTGGGTTGCGAGTGGGACATAGGGCTGTGACAACACATCTCCACTTTGTTCTATTTTATGCCATCATCTTCAGCTGGGTCCACGATTTTCTAAACTCTCTCATCTCTTCCTCATACGACTTCCTGCATGTCACCCTAGGACGACCCACTGGTTGCTTCCCACTCGCATTGCACTCTGGGGTCTGGGGTGCGCGATGTTATTTGAAGGCCTCCTCAATTTGCGCCCAATCCATCTCCATTTACGCCTACATATTTGTTGAGCCATCGGCTCTTGGTTAGTTTGTTGCACTACAGAGTTTCTTGTTGCTAATTCTTTTTGGCCAGCCGGCTATTTGATCTTCATTATGGAGCGAAGGGGACAGCTGTTGATGAAAGTCTGCAACAGCCTGTTGGAAATCCTTTTCGTAACACGCAATACAAGTTTCCGATCCTCATAGAATAATTGATTGGCTTCATATTTGTGTTAAAAAATCTGAATCTCGTTCTTTATGCTGACTGAGTGCAGAGCAGAAAATTTCCAAACTGGTTTCAGGTTGATGAAGGCGTATCTTGCCTTTCCGATACTGCCTGACTTTGATATCTTCATCCGTTCCGCCTGTAGTTGAAACGATGCTCTGTAGATAAGTGAAGCAGGTAACCTGTGTGAAATCTCTCCCGTTGATGGTGATTGATGCTGGTTGTTGTTGCTGTGGTGGTTCGTTGGTTATCTTCATCACCTCCGTCTTCTCTATGTTCACCTGGAGTCCTGTCTTCGCTGCCTGCCTCTTCAACCACTTTGTTGGTTTGCACCTGTAAGTCTTCTAGTTTGTGTGACATTACACATATATCACCCAAACACGAAATTTTGATCTTCTAGAGTCATCTTATCGGTGGTCCAGCGTGTTCTTGACTCCTCGCTTCCCGACCTCACAGTGCGCCGCATAATCCAGTCCACCACAATCAGGATTATTATTAGTGGTAGCTGGCAGCCTTGTCTTACTCGTATATTCACTTCAAAGGCTACGCTGAGTGTTCCGTTGTAGGTCACCTGACACGTGGCATTGTCATACAGCTGATGAATGAGGTTAATAAAGATTTGAAGCACTCTATAGTGTTGAAGTAGTTCCCAAATTACTTCACGAGCTGGCTATTGTTTTCCTTGTATGTTATATGTATGCATGTCAATGCATCTGGCAATAAGTCACATACTGTTTAGAGGCTGCTAATACTTTTCAGGCTCTTCAAACTTGGTACAATATGGCACCAAGAAAGATGCACCACACAATAATAATAAAACAACATAGATCAATAGTAAAAAAAATACAAGTAAAGAACGGATAAAGAACTTCATCTGGAAGGAAAACAGTCATACTTAACAAGTTCAAACAGTATCCGGTAACTATCATCGGGAAGGAAAGAAAGAAGGAAATCGTAACTCGTTCGCCATATCCGATACAGTTTCGAGCCATCGATTTGAGTTATCTCGCTGACCTCAACCAGGGAGTCGTGACTCACCAACCGATGCTAATCCTTCATTCCACGACGCAACGTCATGGACTGACCACCTCTCCGCCTTTTCTATCCTGTCCCAGGGCTGGCTAGCGAACAGAGACCTGTACGGAAGCCTCTGGGATGACATTCGCAGCACATGTCCAAGCCACCAGAGCCGGTGTTTCCAGAATACGACAATCAATGAATGGTGATCTCCACTGTGTTCAAACACACGCCGCCGAACCTCAGAATTACTCACGCGATGATGCCATCCACCGAACGCAAGCAATCCTGCGGTGACAGCGATGATCGAACACGGAGGACCGCCACACATCCTCAGCTCAGAGAGGCCAGGTTTCACAGGCGTAGAGCAAGACAGTCTGCACCGAAGCATTATGTACACGACGTTTGATAGCCAGGCTAACGTCGCGACAGCGCCAGAGGTGGCTGAAGTTGATGTATGCCACCCTAGCCTTCATTATACAGTTGGAAATCTCATCCGTCACTTCTCCGCCAGCACTCACACAACTACCCAGATACACAAACTTATCAACAACTTCAAGCGGTTCTCCCGCAAGAGTGAGTATAGGTACAGTCTCCTGCCAATCTTGTAACAGTCCTCAAACCTAGAGACACATAAACTCGTTAACCCTTTGTTCAGGCTTTTAATGTTTAGTTCACCGAACTACAGTTCCACCAGATAAGTAGAAAACAGATCCAAAAAAGTCAAAAGCGACAAATTAAATTTAACATTAGATATTTATTCATATATTTAATTTTCCGTTGATATATCTGATTGAGATTGGTCGTACACCACGCTTCACCCAAATCCAACAAAGAAAACTCCATGTCTGTACTTAAGAAATTGCTATACATCAATGTAGTATTCAAAGGCGACCTTCTGGCAGACACTCCTTCGTGGTTGTGACATATATGGCCATTGAAATTAAAAGGCGTGCAAAGATTGGCTGTCTTTGATAATAAATGTCTGCGTTTTATCTCCCCTGTTAAGTGGTAGGTATAATAAGGTAAGTAATATTGAGTTTAGAGACTGAGTGTTAGGCTGGGAGGGAGGGAAATTCAGTTGATGGCTAGGACATGTGGTATGCATTCCTAGCCGTCACTTTCCGCGACGGTCAGTGTTAGTCGCCGACATAGAATGAGGTTGTAAAAGAGTTAGTGATTGCCAAACCAAAAGATGGAATCAGTCCATGGAGTTCTTGACAGTTACCAGCCATTTAAGGGGGTGGGTGTACATACTCCTTGGTTTGAGTTCTTTGGGATTCTAGGAGAGGTGACTGGAGATAAATGCAAATATGACTTGATATTGTCAATGGCACATCCGTTATCTACCACATCCATTGAACCTTCGTGCTTTTCCATGTTACTATTCTTTCTCACTCACATTTTTGCTTATCATCGTTCTTTTGTGTGGTACATGGAGTGTAGCAACTCTAACTGCTATACTTCCGTGCAAAAATCTATCCCAAAGCCAGTCAATCATGTTAAGATTGTCATTTTGTTGTCACTTAATGTTCTGCAATAACTCTTAAGTCAAATTATGCATTCGACCACTTGTATGTATAGCTTCCAATTCACTCGCTGCTATAAAGTGAGATAAGTAGGTTGTTCGGTGTGTGTTTTATCTAAAAGAGTCAGAGAACATTATCCCACTTGGCTACAAAAAAGTAACAATGGATCAATGAGGAGTGCTATAATTGAATATATATATTCAACCCTAATCTCTCAATATGTAAGCAGAATGCATTCAAAGTTGTCTTTAAAGTCCAACGAAGCCTCCTAAAAATGTGTGTCCATAGCTATTCGGTTGGAAAATCTTGATTTATGTACACGTGAAAAAATCTGTCCACTCTTTCTACCTCGAGTATAATTCCAATCCCAGTTGTTTTCGATATCTTGTTAGTAACAGTATCTTTTGTCTGCTGTTTTCTTGACATTTACTAACAACAACATCATTTTCTTAACTGAACTTTTGTTTACCTTTTTCACCTACTTGCTTAATTTATTTTGATACTTGTTGTCTCCATGTTCTTTTATTATATTATAATTATTTCCTTTAATTCTTAGAGGAACATAGAGCTTCAGCCGCGCGTCTCCATTGCCTTCTGTTTTCTGCCAACTTTTTCACCCCACCCCAGGTCTCCCCACACCCTTTCATCTCCCCTTTACATGACCTCCTCCAAGTCACCGTCACACTGACGACCAACTCGCCGCTTCCCTTTCGGGTTCCACTCGAGCAATGGCTTGTCTAGTGATGTCACCTGCTGGATTGTTTCCTCAGAGTATGGTCAATCCATCTCCATTTCTTCCTGCCTATTTCTTGCACAATCGGTTACTGGTTGGTTCGCTCCCTGAGATCTCTCCCTGTTACTGATCTTTTCTGGTCATCTTATTTGCGTTGCTGTTATGTACTTGTCGCCAAATTATTGTTGTGTACTGGTCGAGAATTTAATAGTCCTGACGCAAGAAGGCGGAAATCAGAAGACCACTAGGTTTGCGATGATACTTCTATTTTCCAAACACAAGGAGAATGCAATAAGTGGTATCACACCAAAGTGTCACACAAGATTGTGAGAGCGAAATATATATGAATGTCCAGACAAGTGTGTGAACAAATCAATAGACAGTCTTAATATGAATGGCTAATTATAATGGAGTATCGATCCATATATACATAGCAAAATATAGCAGACATGTCAACAACCATACATACTATATGGATATATGTCACTAAGAACAGACTGTCAACAAGCACACATATTATATATAATATAAGGGGAATATACATTGTTAAAGGAGACAGGTTCATCAAAGTGAAATGGTCACAGACTAAGAGAGCAACAGAAAGAGAGAGACCACCATATATATATGGATACATATCAGTTGCATTGAGCAAAGAGAGCTGTTGATGAAGGTTTGTAGTTTATTCGAAATACTCTTCATGACTCACCAAGTCTCTGATCCATAAAGCCGCACTGATTTCACATTGAAGCTGAAAATCCGGATCTTATTTTTCATGCTGAGTGCTGTTGATCTCCACACAGACTTAAGAGTGATGAAAGCTTGCTTTGCTTTCCCGATCCTCGCCTTGATATCCTCATCAGTTCCGTCCGCCTGTAGTTGAAAGGATGCTTTCCAGGTAAGCAGGTAGGTAGGTAAAGGAGGTTCTTTCTTTCCGATTTCTCCCATTTACACCGGTTGATTGTTGTTGTTGTTGCTGTCGGTGTTGCCCAGGAATCTTCATCACTTCTGTTTTCTCTATGTTCACTTGAAGTCCTATCTTTGATGCTTCTTCTATAGCCAGCTTGTTGCTTTTCACTTGTATATCTTCCAGTTTGTGGGAAATCAGACATATATCATCATCGGCGAAGTTCAGGTCCTCCAAGTTTTTTGTGTGAGTCCATTTTATGCCTGTTTCCTCATTGCCCGCTGTTTGTCGCATTATCCAGTCTGCTGCAATCAGGAAAATCATTGGCGATAGTAGACAGCCTTGCCCCACTCCCGTCCTCACTTTGAAGGATTCCGTGAGTTTCTCGTTGTGGATTACTTGGCATGCAGCATTGTCGTACAACTGTTGGATGAGATGTATAATTGCCGATGGCATCCCGTAGTAGTGAAGTAGTTGTCAAATGACCTCTCGATCGACGCTGTCTGATGAAGGCCTTTTCAAAGTTGGTTAAGTTCAGATAGAGAGGTGACTGCTATTCCAAGCTGTGTTCAATGATGATTCGTAGTGTTGTGGTTTTATCGATGCATGACTTGTTCCTCCTGAATGCAGCCTGTTTCGGTCAAAGTTTTTCATCCAGGGTGGCGTGTTTGATTCTCTCCAGGATGATGCGGCTTATTCTTTTATTAATACCTAATTTTTTCTAAGCCTTTTGTCATATTGCGCAACCGTAGTCTCTAAACTTAATAATCTTGAACCCTTTACCTCACCACCACCATCACAATATTTTCAATTTGACTATTTACCAATGCTTCTGCTATATACACATACCTATACGAATAGTTACATATACTTGTGAATGGACAGTTAAGTGAATGAATTCGCTGAAAAGAATCTCTCTCTTTACTTCACTGTTTACTCTTATTTCTATGCGATTGGTTAGCCTCGTTTTTGTAATATGAGGAGTAGGTTGGACGGATTATTTTAATATTGCCGGGATGATTAATAACTTGACGAACGAAATACGCCTGCGGGATACTACTGTTAGCCACCATCAGACCAGTAATTCTAAGCGTGATATCAAAGCACTCCGTGTCAAGGAAGTTAAATAGGAAAAGGAGGTTGATCAGTCTCGGTCAGTCAATTACATCAACAGGAAATCAAAAACACAAGTGAATAATCCTAAATCATATGTGTTGTTCAAGAGGCGACCTTTTTGGCCGAGTGGATAATACAATAATAATAGTAGTAGTAGATGAGATTTTGAAGTTACATCGATTGGGGGATGGTTGGAGACCATTGGAAATACGGCTCCAAATCCTTCTCAATAGTGTGAATGCATTCACTGTTTGTTATCCCCTACATCCATTAAACCCTATTGTATTTTCACGTTACCAGTCTTTCTCCCTCACATTCCTACTTATGATCGTTCTTTCCTCTCTCTCTCTCTCTCTCTCTCTCTATTGCCCTCCTTTATCTGGTACGTGGAGTCTGGCAACTGAAACTGGTGCAAAGTTCCGTGTTGAAACCAGCCAGTCAGTCAATGACTGCTTTGACGTTTGAAATAGTGGCTAGTAGGTTTGTGTCTTACTGTGCATGCTGTCACTGTAAGACAAAATTGCTCCTTCATTTCCTCTTCTGCTGGATACCAGTAAACTAGTAAGTCCTGTAACCAATCAAACAAACTTTAATTGGTGGATGGTGACTAGCAGTGAAATCCAGGATGCACACTTCCTCCTACTTGGGACTCGTCAGCTGGATGTACCTGCATTTCCCACTGAGTGATGATGTTCCCACCGAGGCTCGAACCCAGTGCCCATAGTTTCAAACGCCAAAGCGTTATCCACTAGACCACTTGGCCCACGAGAGCCACCTCTTGTGCGTCGAGCACTTCGGTCCAATCAATCGACGGGCAAATCTCAAATTCAACCACTTCTAGTGGGAAGCCGTGACCAGTAGAATGCAGCAAGTTGACTGATAGTGAGGCAGTAACTCATCGAAGAAGACATTGCACGAAGTGGTCCCGCTATGTCATGGTTTAGCAGAAGTTAGAATTCATGCAGTGGCTACTGGATCGGTCCCAGTAGCCTAATGGTCTACGAGCTCGCTAGCCTTGTAACCAGAAGATCCTGAGTTCGAATCCTGAGAGTGGGCGCGTACTGTTGAAGGGTCCCAAACTAGGTAGACGAAACAGCTGTACAGTTTACTCCCTACAGGTTTCCCAATGGTTCTGTAACTGATGTCAGTTCATGATGAAATCTTCCAACCAATCAAACAAAATTCCCTGCCAAACCAATACTCGAAAATTTTACTAACCTAAAATAGAATTTACTTTTTTTACATATAAATTTTTATCTTAGATATTAAAATACATTTTGATGACAGTTTTCTTTTTGTTCATTTTCTCAGTACTAGCTAAATATTGAGAGTGCTGACAATGTTTATAAATAGTGAGGGCATCTGCATTTTTTTTAACTAACCCTATTATTGTTATTATTGTTCCCTTGGGTTCCTAGTGGAACATAGGGCTTCAACTGCAAGTCTCCACTTGCTTCTGTCTTCCTTCTTCTGTACTTTTCACCTGCACCCATCCATGTTAGTCCATACTGTTTCAAGTCCTCTTCACACGATCTCCTCCATGTCACCCTTGGACGTCACACTCGCCATTTCCCTTTCAGCTTACACTCGAGCAATGGCCTGACGCGCGCGCGATGTCACCCAGCGGTGACCTCCTCAGCGAGCGAGTGTCCAATCCATCCATCTCCACTTTCTCCTGCATATTTGTTGGCTGGCGATTGGTTCTTGTTTTGTTTGTTCGTTCCCATAGTTTCTTGTTGGTGATTCTTTCCGGCCCGGCCCGGCCATCTGATCTTCAGTATAGATCCGGCGAAGACAGTTGTTGGTTGGTAAAGGTCTGCATCGCAACAGGCTGTTGGAAATATCGTTTGTGACCCGCTCGCCAAGTTTCTGATCCGTATAGGAGAACTGACTGACTTGACGTTTGTGTTGAAAATTTGACCGAATTTTGTTGTTGATGTTGAGTGACGAAGATTGGTTTCAGGTTGATGAATGTGTTTCTCGCCTTCCCGATTCTCGCTCGATTTGACATCCTTGTCCGTTCCGACTGCCTGTAGTGTAGACAATGCTCCCTAGATAAGTGAGTGAATGAAGTAACCTCGTTCAAATCCCTCCCGTTGATGGTGATTGGCGCTGGATGTTCCTACTGTTGTTTTTGTTGGTTGATCATTTTCGTCACCTTGGTCTTGTCTATGTTCACCTGGAGTCCTGTCTTCGCCGGCTGCTTCTTTTACCGGCCAATTTGTCGGTTTTCGCTTGTAAGTCTTCGATTTTGTGACACATCAAACATAAATCATCCACACGCAAAATCCAGGTCTTCTAGGTTCTTAGCGTCGGTCCAGGATATTCCTGTCTTCTCGTTTCCCACTGTCTGGCGTATAATCCAGTCAATCCACCACAATTAGGAATATCATTGCTTTCTCGTGTACACTTCTCTTTTTTTTTTAAATTCACATAGTGCAGTGTATTGTGTGTTTCTTTTTTTGTTTCCAGGTTGGGATTTATCTAAACATTTAGTCAGCGTGCATCACTTGTCTCGTCCATCTGGTCATGCACGTTTCACTTATACAGTATCAAACGATGGACATTATCGTCTACAATTAACTCGTCTTGATACTGTCGATGTAGCCGCTGAACTACTCGGTGAAAATGTTGTCAGTAAGCTTCTGGTTGAGACTAACACAAATCAACAATTGCCTGTATGTCAATAAGAAAAAACTTATTCTAATGTATAATTACTGTTGTAGGACATTTTTTTTTGTATCTATGGTGAAAATGTATCATTGATTTATTCATTTTACTTTCTCATTATTATTTGTATATTATATAATATGTATATTCTAAATAGAAGTTTTTAATTTCATTACAGCACCTGTTGTTTGTTTGTTTGTTTTGTTATTGTTTTATTTGGATAACGTAATGGTGGCATGTGTTAGTGTATGAAGTTTTTTTTCCATTTTGTACTGCTTTATTGCGTTGATTTTTATCTTTGTAGAGCTATGATGTGTGTGGGGGGGTGATATCTCCATTATGGATAAGATTTTATTTTGATAAATCACACAGTGTTGTAAAGTAATATTAACTGATGATGTTTCCAGCAAAAGTTACTCACACAACTTTTTCCTTCATTTATATACACGTGTGGAATTGACCAGATATTTGAATAAAAATCAATAGGGGATAATGTACATTCAGAAATAATAATAATTTGAGTGTTAATGATCAAATACAATCAAATGGGAAATAAGACAAGTGTTCTGATAGTCAAAATAGGTAACTTGTTAGAATGTTATGATGTGCTTGAATTGAAATGGAATTTTGAGATTATTTATTATCTTCCTCTGATTTGACTGACTGGTGGTAATAATATCTTCCATATTTCTGGTATTTGCATTGAGTCATTTCTATTGCATGTGTTGTGTTGGGTGTAGACTCGATGAACTAGGCAGGATTCAGTAATCAACCTCTCTCTCCTGAATCCTTGTTCATCGAGTCTGCACCTAATACATGCCATAGAAATGACTCAATGCAAATACCAGAGATATGGAAGATATTATTACCACCAGTAGGTCAAATTAGAGGGGGATAATACATAATCTTAAGCTTTCAATTCAATCACATCACAGCATTCTAACAAGTTATTTATTTTGACTAAAAAACACTCGTCTTATTTCCCATTTGATTGTATTTGATCAATAACACTCATATTATTACCACCAGTAGCTGAACGTAAAATTAAAAATCTGACATTTTGTATGGACTTAGCCCAAGACAGACTAATTTCCGATCGAAGGTTATTCACTTTGCAACAGTCTGAGGCCTAACACTAATGGAAATAGTCAGATCATACGCACACTTGGCGAATGATACGTATCTTCTAGGTGTAAAGAAAAGGAGAATTAATAGTACGTTGGGGGGTCGCTGGTTTCAGCACGAAAAGTGGTGGATTTCCTATATATACAGCTTTCTTTCAGCGAACTAGGAACTTGACCTATTACCAATACAGCAAGGAAAACTCGTTCCTATAAAACAGCGTAGAAACGGAGTCAAAGTTAGATGCATGATCCAAGAAGAAATCTGGAACATACTTATCACTTTTGTTTAAACTGGAGACAATTTTATGAAGTAAGGCAACGACGACATCTAAGGTATGTCTACCACGATTGCAAGATGTGTTTCGGGCCTGCGAAATTTGGGCTACCGATATCCACGCTGAAAATTCCATACTTGTACCAAAAATACGGTGTGGAATCAAGCTGTAATCAAAAATAAAAATAAAAAATAAAAATAAATAAAATAAATAATCTTCAGAAATGGGGTGGTATTAGCAGTATGTTAACTTAATATATGATCCGCTTGATGATTTAGACACCTAGAGGATTTTGCATTTAGTAGGGACGAATCGTTTGTTCGAGTTACTAGGGTTTCTACTGAGGATGTTCAGAAGACTACATTTTGTCAGCCCCTTAACCTAGGAGGACAGTAACACCTGCATTCTCTAAGTCGACGAGATCTCTTCCCAGTAACACGTTAATCTCCAAGTAGCTATAGTCGATTATGGCCACTTTCGTTAGTTCATCTACACGAAGCAAGACAAAAATGGAGACAATGATAATTCCTGACAGATTCCAATAGCTGGCATCACTTCTCAAGACAAACCTGTTGACACGGCTGCAAGGGTTAAAGTGGAGTGCCTTGATTATTAAAGTAAACATTTTCGGCACAATAGGATCAAAAGTTGCCTTTTGTATGACATGCTTACAGTCGGAGGATCGATATCTACACCATACTCAGATGGATGTTAAGTGCTGGGTGAAATTGGCGTAGTTTTAGGTTTCTCCCCTCCCCCCCCCCAAAAAAATTCTAGTTATTTAGCCTGAAAGAGAATGGAGACACCATTTTTCTTGAAGAATGCTCCACCTATGCAAAATCTTCATCGATTCAGTTGCTGACATATACGTCCATAGGCCACAGGATGATCTAGGTTTGCTCAGGTGTTCTAGAATTAGCTACGATTTATCCTCCGATGGCTTCATTTGATGATGGATGTTTGCAGGTAAGGAAACAACTCCCTTTTTTGATTGAAATTAGTGTTGGCGAAGATAGTGTTATTATGCGAACAGAATTATAAGGGGCGATTACCGTTCTCAATTCATCGATATGGGACTCCACCCGCATACTTTTCTGGTAGGCACATCTCCCGTAATTGAGCATCAAGGCCACCTGCCAGGATGATAACGTCTAATATTTTTGCTCTAAGCAGCAAACTGGACAGCTCTTGTTGGGACTCATCGTCAGAAATGCAGCCGGTGATGGGCGGAAATTGTCAAAAGAGGTCGGATGCCGTCATAACCTTTCCTCCTTGTAACAGATACTTTTGGCCAAACAGTACACATACAACGGCTCACCAGGATCCGGTCAGAAAAGGATTTTTCTGCCGTAGCAGTGACCGCAATTATCTTTATGGCAAGTCCACGCAAACCGTCCGAAGAATATCCCGGCATCGATAAGAAGACTGCACTGACGGTACGGCGAAGGAATGCTCACCAACGACGCATGTGGTTCGGGGTTCAATCCACGGCCGACGCGCTCCCAAACCTCGTTAGGCTCGTAATAAGACCGTTAAAGAGGGAAGGTTGGGCGTTAGGCCATCAACCTCACCCCGTAAAAATAAACACCACTGCTACTGAAACCTCGAAGCTCTGGTTTAAAGCCCCTTATTCCAGTCGGAACGTAAAGGAATGAGATAAGATGGTAGGATAAGATATAGGGGATTATCGCTGACACAGTGTTAGTCGTGTAGGGCCGAATGAATAAAAGCACTAACCTTTTATGGGCGCCTCTGAGAAACGGCAAACATCCGTGGCTTCAGACACTGGGGCTCTCGCCGATGAAGCTAATCGTCCTATTCGGCTAAAGCTCCAATATGCCCGTTTTAAGAGGCTGTCAGTGGTTTTTCACTGTTGCTGTCGCTATTACTAATTGCAGAGTTAACAGTAGGTGAGGAACTTATGTGTTGGCACGTGACATCTTGAGGAGTGTGTGTGGTGACCTGAAAAATCTTGTGTTTGTGGAGTGTGTGGGTGCTCAATAACTTACACCTGCCTACACCATAGAAGTAGAATTCTTTTCAGGGTACCAAAGAGAGAAGTAGCACTGGTAATTGATCACATGACCCAGTGGATGACTACCTGGGGTGCTGACACAGCCGTTTTCAACGTAGTTATCACAGATGTGTCCATATAAGGATCTTGTTAATGACCACAGACCGGTTCAAGTCAGGTCGGGGTGTATGACTTTCAGGGTCAACCCTTTCACAGCCCCTTTCCAAGAGTAGAGAGGCGGCACAGTTTTCCCGCTGGTCGTCCTAAAGGAACATTTTACTATTGTAAGATCCCTCTGCCAGCAATTCGGCCTCTCCTTGACACCTCCAACTTAATCTGAGTGACCTTCGTTTTGGGTTTAACCGCTTTGAGATTGACGGTTCTTCAAACGACCTCTCCAGCATGATAAGAACTGTTAGAACATTCGTTCCGGCCGGTATATCCCCTGTTCGGTCAGTGTAATATGCAAGCCCGACCAAACACTGAAGTGATAGCCTTAGGCAGGGGTCTACGGATAACTGTATTTTAAAGGGTCCGTTTCCGTTATGATAGTGTGTTGTGAATATGACTGTAAAAGAAAAGGCTAATATCAGTTTGAATCCACTGATGTTCTGCCAACTGGTTGGTATTTGCTTGCCATGAATATAACTGTCTTTGAGGAGTGTATGTTTTTCGTATATTTTCATTATTATGACACATTACCATTAGTCACTACTTTTCATTTGATGTAACATGGATGTCGAGTGAAATATTGCAACGTTTCTGTTCTGCACTCCGCGTCTGAGGGAGACAGTAGCTTCAGATGTGAGAAAAATTTAGATTAATAATATTGGTACCACTGAATAAGACGGGTGATGGGGGACTGTTTTACCTTGCCGTAAAAAATGTATGAACTAAGATATAAAATATATGAGAGCCTAGCTGAGCACGATGTATTTTATGCATAAGATGTCTGGAGTTACATTTGAGCTGAAATCTAATTGAAGCTGCTACTTAATCACAACTACAAGCATTTGGCTGCTTTTAAACAGGATAGACAGTCGTGTACATGATATCTTAATTATTTTCGTACTTACTTTTCATGTTTCCAAACTGAACATTGCTGTGTTCTGGGTGTGCGTCGGTGGCACAGTGGTTAGGACTCTCGCCGACCATGCACATGGTCCGGGGTTCGAGCCCACGCCGGCGCACACCTGATATCTATGGTCGGCCTGCGAAATTTGGGCTACCGATATCCATGCTGAAAATTCCATACTTGTACCAAAAATACAGTGTGGAAACAAGCTGTAAATCAAAAAAAACCTGCCGTCCAGCCAGTCTGGCTCCCCCCTCGATCATATGACTTTATACTTCCTGACTTTTACAATCCTTACTACTTTAATCACAGTGCTTTCATCAGAACACTTAAGTGGCTTCAGTAACAATTTATTCATCATATCGGTTTGAAATAAGGGAAACTGATCCACAGATGTCGTCAGGTGATAAATTATGAAACAAGACACCATGTAATTTTTCATAACAGTTGTCAGGTATCATCCAGTTATAGCGGCCACAACTTCAACCGCAACAGTCGTGACATGGGATTAATCGTGAACATTTCCATGTGG